CTAAAAGCCCCGAAATCATCTCAAGATAACCTCTCAAGAAGGACTCTTGTTGGTGTATGAAGAGGGTGAGGAGGAGGGAGGAGATGGGGAGACCATCTCCTGCTCGCCTTAACCCCTGGGAGGCACTTGCAGTTATAGCCTACAACACGCCCATGTGCAAGAAATAGTTTTATTTTCATTGCATAAAATTGTTCATTTGTGTTCCCTGATCACGGAAAAATAATAAAAAAAATCGTAGATGACATATTTTGGCCGCAGTAGGGTGAGGAAGTCTGGCAAAATTGGGAGTTTGCCCTGAGAGGTCTTGCTACTGGGGTAAAGAGCCTCACCCTGGGCAGTTCATGGTTAGGGTATATACTGTACATGCTAGTTTATATAACATGGTGTAGTCACCCTTTGTAGCCATATTGTTTATAGGCTGTATTCAGTGTTTAAATAAATAAACATTTAAACAAACAAACATTTATTTATTTAGACTCGATATTGTGGTTTGACACAATAAGCGTCTCACGATTGTCTCCTCCACCCATGCTGTCAGGCGGGAGTTGCCACAAAAATATTATTACCTAATTATTAGCAAGGTAAATCAGGCAAATCTGGTAAAAATCAATCAGGTAATATTACCTGATTGATTTTTTCTCTTTTTTTTTTTTGCAGTAATATTATTCAATAGTGTGTAGTGTGATATATTTATATAATAAAATGTGTAAACCATTGTTATACTGTACTCAAAAGTATGGTGTGCACATTATCAATTCAATTATTATGATCATAAAAACAATAAAAAAATAGTTTTGCTGTTATTACACTCTATACACACATTATATATAAGTATATGCATGTTTTGTTCACTATAGCAAACCACTAAGTTGGTATGGTGAGTCTAGTCCAGACAATAACAGGTTGCCAAACAGGGTCAGCAGATGCACCCACCTCTCCCTCCCTCCCTCACCAAGAATGCTCCTCACACCATGCTTCGCACATCCACAAGAAGTTGACATAATAGCACTAGAGATCTGCCATGAGGATGATAAACTAATGATCATAAATGCATATAGTCCACTGCCAAGCAGCACATGGTCAAAGGAGGAGCTAGATAGTAAACGAGAAGGTCTTATAACAATAATGAGAGAGATCATAGCGGGAGCGGATAATGATAGTTTACGACTGATGATAGTCGGCGACTTCAACTTGAAATCCATAGACTTGGAAGTATATGAAGCTAAAATACAGTGGTACCTCGGAATGCGAGTGTCCCTGTATGCGAGTTTTTCGGAATACGAGCAGGATTTCCTCGGAAAATATGTCTCGGAACACGAAGGTTACCTCGGGACGCGAGTTTGTTGATACGCGTTCAGGCCGTCCTAGCGCGTGGTGGTACGGCGATCGTCGCCCCTCCACCCCTCAGTTTACCATTGTCTCGTACCCAGTGACTATCCCTCCTGAATTCTTCACTAGGATTTACAGTTTTATGTCGGTTTTTTGGCCATTTGAGCATAAAAGTTGTTATTATATATCTCGCCATGGGTCTCAAGAAAGCCATTGATAGGGTTCAACCTTAGAAAATAGCTGTGAGTAGAGGCAGTAGAGGATGTCCCTTCTTGATTAAGAAAATGTGTGAAGTATGGGAAGAACTGCAAAGTTCTGTTGAAAAAACTCACCCAGATAAAGCTGTAGCAGGCTGTTGCATTGACCTTTTAAATGACAATGTGATGTCTTACTACAGAAAAGTGTTAAAATGTAGGGAAAAACAAGTGTCATTAGACAGATTCTTAGTAAGGCAAACAAGTCCTAGTGGTATGCAGGCAAAATGTGCCAGAGCGTGCTCACCAGTGAAGTCCTCACTGCCTGATGTGATAATGGAAGGGGACTCCCCTTCCAAACAGTAACTCCTCTTCTCCTCCCCCCTCCTCACCATCTTCCATACGCCTACAGCATTCAACAGCAAGGTAAGTAATAACTTGAACATAGTTTTGTAGGTTTATTTAGATGAATTCGGTATAAAAATTTAGTTTGATGTGGGGTTTTTGGGGTAGTCAGGAACGGATTAATTCATTTCCCATTATTTCTTATGGGGAAATTAGCTTCGGAATACGAGTTTTCGGAATACGAGGCGTCTCCAGGAACGAATTAAACTCTTAAACTGAGGTATGCCTGTAGAAGATTTTTGGACCTGTAAATTTGTAGACCTCATCCTGGAAACATTCTTGTATCAACATGGTAAACAAGCTACGAGGATGAGGGAAGGGGACGTTCCCTCCATGCTAGATTTTATATTTACCAGGAAGGAGGAAGAAATATTTGACATTCAGTACCTTTCTCCCTTGGGTAAAAGTGACCATGTCTTTTTGGGAATAAAGTATGCAATGTGTTATAATCTGGAAGAAAATATGAAGGTTGATGCTATTGAAAAACCTGACTTTAGGAGAGGACATTATGGCAACCTTAGAAATTTTTTTAGTGAGTATAATTGGACAGACTTGTTGCTAGGCAAGGAAGTGAATGAGATGTATGTCAAGTTTTGTGAAATATATGATAAATGCACAAAAAAATTTATACCAAAACAGAGATGCAGAACTAGGAAACAGGATTGGTTCATCAGAAATTGCGAGAGAGCCAAAGACCAAAAGACACAAAAATGGAATCAATACAGGAAGAGGCCAAACCCCCAAACATACCAGCGATACAAAGATGCAAGAAACAACTACACGGCAGTGAGGAGAGAGGCAGAAAGAAATTTTGAAAAACGGATTGCAGACAAATGTAAAACAGAACCAGGTCTATTCTATAAATTCATAAACAACAAATTGCAGGTAAAGGATAGTATTCAGAGGTTGAAAATGGGAAATAGATTCACGGAAAATGAAAAGGAAATGTGTGAAACATTAAACGAAAAGTTCCAAAGTGTGTTTGTACAAAATGAAATCTTCAGGGAACCAGATACAATAAGAATTCCAGAGAACAACATAGAGCACATAGAGGTGTCTAGAGACGAAGTGGAAAAAATGCTCAAGGAGATAAATAAGAACAAAGCAGTTGGTCCAGATGGAGTTTCACCATGGGTTCTGAGAGAATGTGCACCTGAGCTCAGCATTCCACTTCAACTGATTTTTCAGGCATCCCAGTTTACAGGAGTTGTAGCTGATGTGTGGAAAAAGGCTAACATAATTCCAATCTACAAAAGTGGAAGCAGGGAAGACCCCCTTAATTATAGACTGGTATCATTGACAAGTGTAATAGTCAAAATATTGGAAAAAATAATTAAAACTAAATGAGTAGAACACCTGGAGAGAAATGATATAATATCAGACAGACAGTATGGTTTTCAATCTGGAAGATCCTGTGTATCAAATTTACTCAGTTTCTATGATCGAGCAAAAGAGATATGTATTACAGGAAAGAGATGGTTGGGTTAACTGCATCTATCTGGACCTAAAAATGGCTTTTGACAGAGTTCCACATAAGAGGTTGTTCTGGAAACTGGAAAATATTGGAGGGGTGACAGGTAAGCTTCTAACATGGATGAAAAATTTTCTGACTGATAGAAAAATGAGGGCAATGATCAGAGGCAATGTATCAGACCGGAGAAATATCACAAGTGAAGTACCACAGTGTTCAGTTCTTGCACCAGTGATGTTTATTGTCTACATAAATGATCTACCAGTTGGTATACAGAATTATATGAACATGTTTGCTGATGATGCTAAGATGATAGGAAGGATAAGAAACTTAGATGATTGTCATGTCATGCCCTTCAAGATGACCTGGACAAAATAAGTATATGGAACACCACTTGGCAAATGGAATTTAATGTTAATAAATGCGATGTTATGGAATGTGGAATAGGAGAACATAGACCTCACACAACCTATGTATTATGTGAGAAATCTTTAAAGAATTCTGATAAAGAAAGAGATCTAGGGGTGGTTCTAAATAGAAAACTATCACCTGAGGACCACATAAAGAATATTGTGCGAGGAGCTTATGCCACGCTTTCTAATTTCAGATTTGCTTTTAAATACATGGATGGCGATATACTAAAGAAATTGTTCACGACTTGTTAGGCCAAAGCTAGAATATGCAGCGGTTGTGTGGTGCCCATATCTTAAGAAGCACATCAACAAACTGGAAAAGGTGCAAAGACATGCTACTAATGAACAAATGTAATGATATGCTGCTAAGTGGCTCCCAGAACTGAAGGGCAAGAGCTACAATGAGAGGTTAGAGGCATTAAATATGCCAAAACTAGAAAACAGAAGAAAAGAGGTGATATGATCACTACATACAAAATAGTAACAGGAATTGATAAAATCGATAGGGAAGATTTGCTGAGACCTGGAACTTTAAGAACAAGAGGTCATAGATTTAAACTAGCTAAACAGAGATGCCGAAGAAATATAAGAAAATTCACTTTCCCAAACTGAGTGGTAGACGGTTGGAACAAGTTAGGTGAGAAGGTGGTGGAGGCCAAGACCGTCAGTAGTTTCAAAGCGTTATATGACAGAGTGCTGGGAAGACGGGACACCACGAGCATTGCTCTCATCCTGTAATTACACTTAGGTAATTACATGATTACACCAGTTGATTGACAGTTGAGAGGCGGGACCAAAGAGCCAGAGCTCAACCCCTGCAAACACAATTAGGTGAATACAACTTGGTGAGTACATCGCTAATTCTCACCACAATGCTGGTATTATCAGAATCCTGGTCACTAAATCCTGTAAATGAATAATTTTTCCACACGTTTATTTTGTAAAGGAACATGAAGTCGTTTGAAGATTCTTAGATGAACGAAACAATGGCAGTGTGCTGTGGCTAGTACTGTGAACTTCTTGAACAACATTGAGTTCACTGATATCTGAGTGAAGGCGTTATCACAGTCAGGCTCTTCTGTAATACCTATCATGGCTAAATAATACCAGTTACATATATATATTGACATTTTTAGGCAATGCTGTTGTCTCAAGCTGAATAGCAAAGCTGTTAGCTCTTGCTGCATATGTCAGCCTTGGTTGCTCAGTCAGTATTGAGGCTCTCACACCCGGGAATGTTGCCCACAATTTTTTTTTAAATGGCGTCTGTTTGCAAGAGCCTTGAAGAAGGTAATGTGAACCCTGTGTAGCCACAGGACTTTTAAATCTTGCATGGTACACCCAACCATACATGGTTGTGGTGCACCGTCCTGTAATAGTTACTCACCCCAGCTATATATATATATATTGTGCTCTTTAAGGGTTAAACAGAATGCTTCCCTCACCTCTGAGAACCCCAGATTCTGGTCCTGTTGGTTTGGTAGACCTTTGAAAGTCATTATATGCCTGACTGTTGACTGTGTCTAATGAATCAGAGCCTTTAGCTCAGTGAACCCATTGATGGTTCTGTACAAAAAGTCGATTCTCATTACATTTAACACTTTTTTTTTAGAATTCCTGAAAGTGAAGTGGCATTCATTCAAGATCAAGATCAAGATCAAGTCGGCATTGGATGGACCTATGATAAAGCTCAGCAAGTGTTTTTATCTTGTGAAAATACAAACAATTTTAAGATATGCTCTCCTATAATTTGCTTTGAAATTTTAAAAAAGGACTCGATAAATCATTTAGTGGAAAACTCTCGTGTTTTCTCAGGAACAGCATGGGCTAATGATAACAAGCAGATGAAAACTGGCAATGTAATACCTGCGAAGGGAAATAAAATAGTTGAGAATGAAGGTAACATTCCAGCTCATAATCAGGAATACATTCTCAGTTCTGCTAATTTTAAGTATCATGTTGATATGGTCATCCATTCTCCATATGAATTAGGAGAAAATTTGTTGGCAGATTTGACAAAATATCTTTACTCAATGGTTGATAGCAACACTGTAAGTTATGTTTCAAATAAGTTATGGATCATTGATGTTGATACTGTTATATACAATCCAGGAAACATTAGGAGATTTAATTCCATTGAACATGCTTTACAAGCATTTTGTCACCCAGTGGATGACTCTGAAGTGTGCAAGCACCCCTTTTCTACGTACTTGATCAAATCTGTTCCGTTCACTTCCATGGGTTCTTCTTATGCTTCTGTTCTTAAAGGTTCCAAGAGTGAAAGTAAAGAGATCAACTTCACACTTGTTCCAAAAACACATCAAGATCAAACTCATAGAAATCTTACCATTGAAACAAAGAATCAAGTTATCAGGAGTGAAAATATATCTAAGTGTGAAGAAAATCAAGTAAATGACAAGAAAGATTGTAAAATGCAAGAAGATACAAATTCCTGGTTTAGAAGGGATTCAAAAAATGTTTGTATTGAAAATGTACAAACATATAATAGCAGCAAGTGCTATTACAAGTTTGTGACGGAAAGGAAAGAAAAAGGGGAAGAAAATTTTGAGAAAAAAGGGAAGAAAATTTCATTAACTGGTGAACTTCAGGAGTTAGTCAATGAAAGAAAATTACAAAAAGATATTCAACTGTCTGAGGTCCATGTCAGCCAATATGCAAGTAGATTACCCAAAGATACTATTTATAAATCAAAAATGGCCATCGACAATGCAAAATACTCTGCTATATCCATTGGATCGGATAGAAAAGGTGATAAGTATATTAAAGGAAACATTGGCTTTGACAATGATCTGCATTATAAAAGTAGAGTTCCAAAAACCATGTACATTGTTCAAACACAGAACATATGTTTTGAAGATAATGCTCCTAAAGACTATGAAGAGTTTATAACAATGAAAGCTCAAGAATCTCCAGTCCAAACATTACATAATACAAAGGTTTCTGAACACAAATTGCAGGATAGTAAAGTTTTAGATACCCTCTTTTTTGAAAGGGAAATAGACATTTGTGGTAGTGGTGATTCTGAAATAAATTTGGACAAAGCGGTGGTAAAAAGTGATACACAAAAATATGGCTCATTCGAATTTCATCAGAATGATAATGGGAATGAGGTTGAAAAAAATTTTTGCTACCCTATTTCCCACATAACAAAACAGGTCCAGGATTCACATTCTCAAAGTGACTGCTCCAGTTCTGGCTCGAAAAAACGTACATATAATTCAGACCTTAAAAATAAATCTAGATTGTCAGTTAATGAAATATGTAACTCAAAAACTGTCAAGTCAAAGGAAAACATTTCAGATAATTCTAATATATCCAAAGATAAATTTCAAGGACATTTTGAACTCGGTAATAATGAAGATAAAGAAGATTTCAGTCTCACTTTAGGTTACCTTAAGCCTGAAGAAGAGGTTTTGGATGAATGTGGAATGATGAGGAAGTACTATGGAGTTCGTTCAGAAATTAAACAGAAAACCATAATTATTCTTGGGGCTTCAGGAAGTGGAAAGACAACACTGGTGAACTTTGTTGCTAATTATTTTAAAGGTGTTAAAAGTGCTGATGGTGAATTAGTACATGTAGTTAGAAACTCTAATGATGTACGATCATACACAACATCAATTACTGCATATACATTTTGTTTTGGAGAGCATGATACTCCAATAACGATTATAGACACTCCAGGACTGAATGACTCTTCCGGGGCAGAAGTGCGAGATCATGTCCAGTCACTCAAAACCTTCTTGGCAAATGCTGCTTCACAAAATTATGAGATCCATGCCATTGGTTTTGTAGCACAAGCTCATTTGGTACGTCTAACATCATCAGAACGTCTTGTTATGGATTATGTGTCCACTCTGTTTGGTCAAGGTATTGAAAATCACTTCTTCACATTTGTTACATTTGCTGACAACCAGGAGACTCCCCCAGTTGTGGAGGCCATGCGAAGTTATGGTATGAAATGTAATACTTTTTTTAAGTTTAATAATTCGCCTCTAAGTAACAATAAAACAGATGAAATTGATGATCTGGATAGAGTTTATTGGAGAATTGGAAACAAGAGCTGGAAAAAATTTATGAAATCTCTTCATAATCTACCAGCTCTACCAGTCATCACTTTAAAAACCTTGCAGAATGAAGTATTTACATCAACTGTAGTTGAATCTGCTGAGAGAGCACTGAGAGCTGAATTAAAGATATTCATCAATTATTGTAATGAAGGTAAATGTATGACTAAAGAGGAACTTCACTCACGTGATAAAGTTTGGGAGTTGGCATCAATTGTTCACCACCTTAGATCTAATCAGATGTCCAACTCTATGAGTACTGAATGCATTTTAATGAGTTTTGCTGAAGAAGTTTGCAAAGAACATGGTACTCTTAGTAAAAGTGACATCAGGCTTCTTTTTCTTGCTCCCTCTAGAAAATTACTAAATGCTGGAATTGGAGTCATACAGAGCATTGCACCTTTATACAAGCATGCCATTAAAAATATAATTGAACAGAGACAGCTCTATTCAAAGACAACTCCAAATATTATTTTCTGTAATTTCTGTGAAAGCAATCACGCATTGGAAAGAGTACAGCTCCCAGCAAGAAGATTATTTTCTTTTTTTGGATCAAATCCAATGGACATTACTTACAGGTGTGTAAAATGTCCATGTGATGGAGATGCTCATGGTGAAAGTCCAGAGGATGATTCCACAGAATGTTTAACTAACAATCTTGACTTGAATAAGTTGCTTGAACACACTAGACTCTGTTTAACTGATATAGCAACAAAATTTTCCATTCAGGGATATTTTATAAATATAGATGATTACTTGCAGTATATTAACAACGTTACAAATTATGAGTTTGATAATTTCATTAATGATCTTTTGCAAATGACACTGAAAGGAATGTAACTTAAATTATAAAGTATATGACCAAACTATTTTTTAATAAAAATTTGAGGATGTGATTATAAGTAATGGTGTTCTTGGGGATTGCAATGAATCTTTACGTGTAGAATGTGTCACAAAGGGGCTGCATATGTGATCCATTTGTCTTAAAAAATAGGCTTGTTAAATATTGTGTTATCATATTTTGATTTTGTTTTCAAATTCTGTTTTTGAAATTTTGATCCAATCTGTGTACTTGATGCTCAATACTGTTATTGGTACAAAGTGGTTATATAGTCTGTATTCATGACCTATAAATATTGGTACAATGTACTGTATAATGCTACAAAATAGGATGATATTTAATACTGTATAACAATCTATTTGGTTTTATTTACTACAGAAAATATCAAGTGATATTTGACAAGTACTATAATTTGATTTTGTAAAGTTTTGTGTTAGCCAGAAATGGTATTATCTGACTTCTTAGTTTAAACAGGAATTACCTGATGGCCACTATCTCCCTAGTGGCCCCCCCAAAAAAAGACAAAGACTGAAAGCCAGCATAACTCATCCTCCTGTTAAGATAGTACCTTTTGTAGCTATGTGCACCATTGTACAACCTGTACAGAATATTGATGTAATGGACAATTAGATAGTAGAATTTGGTATTACTGTATTCACTTCATAGAGTCTGAGAAAATAAAGTTAAAACCAAACTTTAATACTCCCAGGTGTAGTACAACAAATATATTTACAGTAATATATTAGGCCTCATATAGCATGTATTAGCCTAGGATGGTTGGTTAGATTTTATTAGCAACATGGATATGAAACCTTTTCTGATGTGTCAAAATTGATTAGTACCAAATTCTACTTTCTAATTGTCCAGTACATCAATATATGTATGTTGGTGCACATCTTTACTTAAAGTTCCATCTCAACAAGAGGATGGGCTTGCCAGCAGCTGTTATTACATAAATTGTGTACAGTACTTTCTAATTCAAAATAATAATATTGAATAACAATTTTATTGCTTTTTATTACTAATATATTCTTTGTTAGTATTTTTAGTATTTCAATTATTAATTTGTATTGTTATCATTTATATTACTGCTACTATGTTATCTGAGTTATCCAGTGCAAGCAACTGCCAACTGCTGCTCTCTTATAAAAATCAGTAAGACACATGCAGATTACTTGGTCAAATGTTTCGTTTGTTCCTTTAAAAGTCAAAATTACTACCTCATATGGATGAGAAGGAATGAGACGTTGAAACAAATCATCAAAGACATATGGTGACACATCCCAGCAAACACAGAACGTTTGTGGACGTTTTTAAATGGTCCCACAAAGGTAATACTGTAACTTTTGACATAAATACGTATATCTGACGTTCTTAAAACCAAAGGATGTAACTAAAAACATATATTCTTGAGACACAATTTTTTAAGATTTATGTAAAAATTTAAAAATAATAGTAAATGCTATGGTATTATAATGTTTTCATGCTTTATATTTAAGAATAAATAATTTTCAGTCAACATTTAGTTTTTTTTGTTTACTTTCTGTAAAGCTATCCAGTTTACGTTCTTATAACATAAATATAACATTTATATGACGTCAGTATAACGTTATTTACACGACATCATTACGTTATTATGATGTTATATTAACGTATAATTCCTGTGTGAAAACCAGAATATATATTGAACTTTATGTTTTAAACCTTGTAAAGTTATCATAAAACTTGGAATAAGACGGTAAGCATGCTTTACTTATGAAAATATACAAACAAATCAACAAAAACATTTTAACATAAAAACATGAACAACATGAATGAATTTGTAAAGAATTTTTTAATTTGAGTTAAACTAAATACAAACTTAATATGTTTTGCTAACGCAAAAATATATTCCCGAGGTATTGTAACTGCAAATAAATATTTAATACAATTATTTGTATCATTTTTTTTATTTTAGATTTCCGTATTGCTTGATAATATATAATAGCGTTTAGATAATGCTAGCGCTGGACATTCTTTAGGCTCGTTGCATGTTGTGGTAGTCGCCGCCATTTTAAAACCGTGTCGAGAGGGACTGCTGTTGGCTTATCCACAAAATCCTGCTGCATCTTCAATAGTTAAGGTAACTGTTTTCTTTTATTTGCTCTTAGACATGTGTAGTATATATATAAGCTTGTGGTGGCCCTGGCTGGATGGTGTGTTGATGGCCCTGGCTGGAGGTGTGTTGATGGTGGTGTTGTGTTGATGCCCCTGGCTAGAGGTGTGTTGATGGTGGTGTTGAGTTGATGGCCCTGGAGGCGTGTTGGTGGCCCTGGAGGTGTGTTGATGGCCCTGGAGACGTGTTGGTGGCCCTGGAGGTGTGTTGGTGGCCCTGGAGGTGTGTTGGTGGCCCTGGAGGTGTGTTGGTGGCCCTGGCTGGAGGTGTGTTGATGGTGGTGTTGTGTTGATGGCCCTGGAGGCGTGTTGGTGGCCCTGGAGGTGTGTTGATGGCCCTGGAGACGTGTTGGTGGCCCTGGAGGTGTGTTGGTGGCCCTGGAGGTGTGTTGGTGGCCCTGGAGGTGTGTTGGTGGCCCTGGCTGGAGGTGTGTTGATGGTGGTGTTGTGTTGATGGCCCTGGAGGCGTGTTGATGGCCCTGGAGGTGTGTTGGTGGCCCTGGAGGTGTGTTGGTGGCCCTGGAGGTGTGTTGATGGCCCTGGAGGTGTGTTGGTGGCCCTGGAGGTGTGTTGATGGCCCTGGAGGTGTGTTGGTGGCCCTGGAGGTGTGCTGTTGGCCCTGGAGACGTGTTGGTGGCCCTGGAGACGTGTTGGTGGCCCTGGAGGTGTGTTGGTGGCCCTGGAGGTGTGTTGGTGGCCCTGGAGGTGTGTTGGTGGCCCTGGAGGTGTGTTGATGGTGGTGTTGTGTTGATGGCCCTGGAGGCGTGTTGATGGCCCTGGAGGTGTGTTGGTGGCCCTGGAGGTGTGTTGGTGGCCCTGGAGGTGTGTTGGTGGCCCTGGAGGTGTGTTGGTGGCCCTGGAGGTGTGTTGGTGGCCCTGGCTGGAGGTGTGTTGATGGTGGTGGTGTGTTGATGGCCCTGGAGGCGTGTTGATGGCCCTGGAGGTGTGTTGGTGGCCCTGGAGGTGTGTTGGTGGCCCTGGAGGTGTGTTGGTGGCCCTGGAGGTGTGTTGGTGGCCCTGGCTGGAGGTGTGTTGATGGTGGTGTTGTGTTGATGGCCCTGGAGGCGTGTTGATGGCCCTGGAGGTGTGTTGGTGGCCCTGGAGGTGTGTTGGTGGCCCTGGAGGTGTGTTGGTGGCCCTAGCTGGAGGTGTGTTGATGGCCCTATATATATATATATATATATATATATATATATATATATATATATATATATATATATATATATATATATATATATATATATATATATATTTATATATTATGAATATCAGAGGTCCCAGGACATTGGACCCAGGACAATTATTGTGCATGTGTAGTATGTATATTTATGTAGTATATTTGGCATATTTTTTGGCATTTAGTTAATGCCAGTTAGTGGCATGTCTGCACCGTTTCCAGTTTTTTGATATGCTTCTTAAGATATGGGCACCATACAACTGCTGCATACTCCAACTTTGGTCTAACAAAAATTGTGAACAATTTCAAAATTTCTGTTGAAGAAATCCTGTTTCCTAGTTCTGCATCTGTTTTGGTATAACACCTCCTTTTTTTCACACCTCTATTTTTGACTGCTTCATAAGGATGAGAAGGTTTCAAAGCATCAGATGTCATATGAGGATTATTATGTATTTTTATTAAGGTGATAATGCATAATTAAGCTATTTTAAACTTGAACAGGTATTTAAATGTTTCCTAACTTATTAGCATAACATGTACAAAGTTTATTTTGTTGAAGACAAAATCAAGAGGATCGTGTAAAAGGAGAATTGCAAGCAAGTTGCCAAAATCAAGTAGGTCTTTAGACCTACTATTTAAAACTATTACAAATTATAATGGCACACAACAACCCTTCTAACTTTATCCCATGGACTATAAATAAGACTGTTTATGCTTTATGTTTATCGTTGGTCTGGAATGCGAACAATTATGTAAATTAGATAATCAATGCAATGATGACCATAGTTTACAATTTGTTCATTTGATGTATCACGCTATTGTGATTTCTATGTGTATAGACAGTAGTTTACATTTATTCAATAGTAATTACTATTAGCACAAGTTTATTATTTCAGTACTGTACAATTCTTAAATACATGTGTCGCCTTGTAAAATTTATAGTGTAGAGGATATTGAAATGTAAGTTGAAAAAACTTGAAGAAACAACTTTATAATGTATCACTTAAGAATTTTTTGGACCTTCAAAATCCCTGTCAGTATCAACTAACATGATGGATTATCAAGTAAATCAGTTTATTTTAAAGTAAATCAAAGATTATTTTTAAGTTGAAATGGTACCGAGTAGAAATTTGTGCAGCATCCATCATCTGAATTAATGCATATTAATTTAATGTTCTTTTGATGATTAGATAATTGTGGATATCCCCAAATTCTCATAGTTTGTCAAATGTTTGTCAATATTTTTGGTAAGAAAATGCTGCCCACTATGCAGTTTCCACTCTAATGTAGAATAAGCAATGGAGCTTATGTGATCATTCTTGTGATCATTTATGTGATCATTGTGTGATCAGTGATCATTCTTTTGCCAAATTGCTAAATATAGGACATTCATTCACTACTATGCTCTTACACTATACAACAGATGCTGTTGCTCTAAATTTATTTTTCTATCTTTGCTCTGTCTCTAACATGTAATTGTGCAATAATATGACATAATTTTAGTTCTAAAATTATAAATATATGCTAATTATTTCCAGCCAAATGTAAAATAAAAGCAAACACATTCACCAAAAAGTACACCAACAGTTGATATGCATCTCTCCTCCTCCAACAGAAGTAATATATTGTTCTCGTACTGTTTTTTTATAAGATTTTACATACTATATACATTTATCTCATTATTAACCTGTGGTCTTTACCCCTGTTTATACAAGACGACGCTCTGATGTGTGAGAATAAATAAATTTAAAAACTTTTTCCTTCTAATAATGTTAAATGTATTACCTGACTATGAGGAAAAGAAATTGTATGTGACTTTTACCATGATGAAGCCACAAAGTCTCATGATGACATCACGGTTCAAGAGCATTTATGGAGCAATCACCCCATTGTCACCCCAGGCCATGCATGGGGACAGGAGTTGCAGTGAAAATATTTTTACATATTTATTTCAATGTTTCCGATTTGTCTTTTCCTTGTTTTTTGCAGTCATATTTTTCAATAGTGTGTCATTTGAGAAATTTATATAATAAAATGTCGAACATCAGAATGCTCAAATATATTTGTGTCACTAGTATGTGCACCATATTATATTCTTAGAACAATAAAAGATACTGTTTTTGCTGTTATTACACTGTTCACACACTATATTACACATACTTCCACATACTTATCCTACTAAGTACTGTAGATACCTGTAACTGCAGGTATCTACATTTTCATTTATTTATTTATTTTAATTTATTTATTTATATAGAAGAGGATATGTTGGGTTTATGAGAGTACAGAGCATTGATTTTTTATATTCTTGCAAAGCCCCTAACACACACAGCATTGTTTTGGGCACCATTACAAACTACTAAGTAGTTCTGGTTAGTGTAATAATCTCATAACCAGTTATCAGAGTTCAGCCTTGCCCCAGCATATTTTGCATGAGGTAACCACACCCATGGGACATACAGTGGAACCTGGGTACTCAAACGGCTCGAAACTCAAAAATTTGGCACACGACCGCTTTGTTCACATAACGAACAAGTCAGTTATGTACTGCTTATAACGTACAAGTCGGTATGCAAAATAAGGGACCTAGTCTGTGGAACTCACTCCCTAGTGAATTGAAGAGCTGTCAAACTCTTGCCTCATTTAAAAACAAAACCAAAAAGTACCTAATTGTAGTTTCCTACACTGAGCTTTAAATTTGCTCTGTATCTAGTGTTACCCAATCTCCCAATCTTTATGTACTTAACCCAAACAACTTTATCATTGTGTTCATTGCTGTCTTCTTTTATGTGCTAGCCATATGCTGTATTGTGCCTACTAATTTTTGTTAAACTACCATTCAAGCTGTCATTGCAATCAATCTGAGTGTGCAGTCAATCTATGTGCTTTAATATACCTACAATTTTCTCTCATCTTTTTTTTTCTTGCTTTG